TATTTATTAAATTTAAATTTAAAACTTTATTTAAATAATATTTTTACTCAAATATATAACTTTATTTTATTTAGATTTTATTTAAATGAAAAAATTAAATAACCAAATAACTCAAAAATCCGCTCAAATGTCAAATCCCTTATATTTTAGCATTACATGGCAATATTTTGCCATCCAAGCAGCCAGGCGGGTGTGTCCCAAACGGCAGTTAAGCCAGGCGACGGAGTCCCAAACGGCAGTTAAGTTGGGGTAAGAAGAAGGGCTTAATTGCTTTGATCCGAGAGTTCAAGGGTTTATATGCATCAATTAAAGTTTAGGGGCTTAATAGCGATTCTGGGGTTAGTTCAGGTGCTTAACTTATGTTTTGCCTTAGAATATTTGTTGACTATGAATGGTAACATAGAATTTTGATTTCGGCTGTCAAAGTACAACAGAATTTTGACTTTATCCAGAAACTTCCTAGTGCATAAGCCGGCTTAATTTGTATCTTGTGTTAATGATACCAATCTGTGTTTGACAGAGGAGATATGGTTGCCGGGCAATGATGCTGGAGACTGTGGCGGCTGTCCCTGGAATGGTGGCAGGCATGCTGTTGCACTGCAGATCCTTGAGGCGATTTGAGCACAGTGGTGGCTGGATCAAAGCGCTGTTGGAAGAAGCTGAGAATGAGCGTATGCACCTGATGACATTCATGGAGGTGGCCAAGCCAAGGTGGTATGAAAGAGCGCTTGTATTTGCCGTCCAGGGTGTTTTCTTCAATGCCTACTTCTTGGGCTATATCATTTCACCCAAATTTGCTCACCGGATGGTGGGGTACCTTGAGGAAGAAGCAATCCACTCTTACACTGAGTTCCTCAAGGAGCTGGACAAGGGCAACATTGAAAATGTCCCTGCTCCAGCAATTGCCATTGACTACTGGCGCTTGCCTGCTGAATCCACTCTCCGGGATGTTGTGATAGTTGTGAGGGCAGATGAGGCACATCACCGCGATGTCAACCACTTTGCATCGGTTAGAAGCAATTGAATCATTTTACCGAACTCCTCTTTCAAATTTTTCTGTATGAGATATTGATATGTGTTTTTAATGACCTTGCATGCAGGACATACATTACCAGGGACGGGAACTGAAGGAAACGCCTGCCCCACTCGATTACCATTGATCCGAAATGCTGGGAATTAGCCTCATCTTATGAAGTGAATTGAGACAGATACTTCTACTAAAC